TATATATATATATATATATATGTATATATATACGTTTAATTTTATAAATACGTTTTGTTATATATATATACACGTTGACTTTTGTTGACCGGGACGGTCCGGGCCGGTCCTATAACCGGTTACATAACCGGTTCCGGTCTTAACCGGCCTCGGTCCTAAAAAACGTTAAAATCCATAACCGGCAGTCCACAACCGGTCCATACCGGTCCCAGGCCGGTTCCGGTCCCGGTTCCGGTCCTCCGGCGGTTACGGGCCGGGCCGGGCCCATTTGGCCATCTCTAGTCACGGGGGACATACTTTAGCATATGGCATTTACCAGGCGAACGACATGTCTAACACAATCTATGATCGTATAAAAATAGGAGTTAAGATGACAAACGTAAGAAAATATTTTGACCCTTGATATCTTTTAATCTCACCCCACAAATTACGTTTGACACGAGAATTGATCTGATGCATCTCATTATTGTTGATCATCAATTATGATTGATTTAAATGTGAAAGTTCCTTATTACTCTTCTCACTATAACTTATATTCCCAATCTCATCGGAACCCAAGCCTCTTTGACACCTTTCCAATATGTTATATTATTTTACAATAATTTAATTAAAGTAAAGTTTATATTGTTTTCTATTTGACGAAAATTAGTAAAAGTAAAATTTAAGCCCAACTTTTTTATTAGTGACTAAATATTTTCCATGATCTGGTGATGTAACAGCCATTGAAAAAACAAAAAGTTCAAAAGATAAATCATTATATATATATATATATATATAAATATCCATTTAAGAATATAAAGTTTGAAAAATATTTATTTAAAATAAAAGAATAAATTAATTTCAAAAAACATATCACATGGACATAAATTTTAAATTATAACATGATATACAACGTTTATGACAAACATTTCAGCTTTCAATCTTGAGACATTTGACATCTATTCTATGTTCCAATTATATAAATTAAAGTGTAAACAACACATTTGGTCCCTATGGTTAGTAAAATATTGTAAAATCGGTCTATTCTGCAAAAAAATATTTGTAATATGCATTTTGCTTTGAAACAAGCCCGTAGTTCCGCCTTTATTACTTCATATGTTGCTAACGCCTTCATGTGTCTTCCATGTAAGGGGCCTTTTCGTCTTTTATTTACATTACCCTCCACAAATATGTTATTCACCACCATCTGTTCTTCATCTGTCGTCATTTACCGCCAAGTAGCACTGTAGCAGCTGTAACTAATACTCCATCGTAGGGGCAACCACCGAGAAGCACCCTGTCCCTCCATTGTTGTTAATCTTCATCACACACTCCATTGCCACCCCAATTCCCCATTTTCCCTCATATCCCCCCATGTTTCTCTCCTTCCCTCCTCTCCATCCCTACACTAGCAAAATTACATAAAAACACTAAAAATGCCCCCTATATGAGGGCATGTTAGGGATTTCACCGCATTTGAAATGATAGTCAAGGATAACGATTAACTTTTAAAGTCAAATGCATACCGTAACTACTATTCTTATACTTTTTATAAAAGAAAGACCACTTTCGTAAATTCGTACAAACCACAGGGACAAAAACTATACTTTACTCTAAATTAAAATAGGTCCAAACACCCCCTTAAAGAATCTAGGTATTTAAACCCACCTCACCTCTTTTCTTGGTGGCCCCCATTACTTATTCACTCATATGGGGGAAAAAAAACATGAAAAGCAGGAAAACTACCTCAAAACAAACAATAAGACTTCCCATTTACCCATAAACCTATTTGTTTAAACACCTCATTTTGTTTGCTAATTGCATTTATTTTAGAATTTTACTAATGGATCGCCATTAGGGATGCTCGCGGCGTGGTTCGATGTCGGTTGAGATCAAACCGTAAATCACATTTCTCAAACTATAAATTATACCGTGTAAACTTTAAACTACACCAAACCGTACCACAAAATGCGGTGCGATGAGGTGTGAGTTATATAATTTGTATCTATCGTATTTCATTCTACAATCAAATAATTATAAGCTTAAAAATACATTATAAAATTGACGATAAGCGACCAACTAGGTTTGGATAAACACCCTTTAATTGCCAAGAGAATTGGCATGACCCCTCCTCCACCCCACCCCCCACGCCCCACCCAAGTGTCTATTATTTTTTTTTGGAAAAGTACAATAAAAACCAATGAACTTTCTTGTTTGGAATGATTAAGTTCTTGAACTTTTTTTTGGAACAAATAAGTCCTTGGACTTTCCAAAACATGTTAAATAAGTCCTTGAACATACCAAAATATGTTAAATAAGTCATTGGACAATTTTTGGAACAAATAAGTCCTTGGACATTCCAAAAAATGTTAAATAAGTCCTTGGACAATTTTTGGAACAAATAAGTCCTTGAACAATCCAAAACATGTTAAATAACTTTTTGAAAAAAATAAAGTGGTAAAATAGTGAAAAAAATCCCGAAAAAAAACCCAATGAACATTCATATTTTGAACGATTAAGCCCCTAAATATTTTTTCAACCAAAAAGTATTTAGATCTRTAAAATTAAACAAATATAACAAAAAAGTACTTACATTTACAAAAAAATAATTACCATTTTAACTAGTTGTACAAGTCATAAGAATGTATACAACACGTTTTATAAAAGTTCAAGAAGTTATTTAACATGTTTTGGATTGTTCAAGGACTTATTTGTTCCAAAAATTATCCAAGGACTTATTTAACATTTTTTGGAATGTCTAAGGACTTATTTAAYATATTTTAGAATGTCCAAGGACTTATTTGTGTCAAAAAATTGTCCAAGGACTTATTTAACATGTTTTAGAAAGTTCAAGGACTTATTTGTTTCAAAAAAAAATTCAAGGACTTAATCATTCCAAACAAAAAATTTTTTTTTTTTTTTTTTTTTTTTTTACCTATATCAACGTTATTTCCCATGATCTGCTCCTTCCTCCCTCCCTTTGAGCCTGAGGCCGTTCATGTTGAAGCCAACTGTTCTGTTTGAGCTTCCCTTACAAAGCCATTAAAACCCCCTTCCATTTATTGCATTTATCCTTCAAAATCAGAAGAAAAGATGCATCATACGCACTCTTCTAATACCTACATTCTCTTGTTTTGCCTCTTAACATCTCTCTTCTCTGTCATTAGAGCTACTTTTAACCTCACACTACCTCATCAACACCCTAATCCAGAAGATGTGGTTCAAGAAGTACAAAGGTAAGGTATTTTTTGTACACTGGCATACCTCCATTTTGGTATCCCCTTCTTCTACATAAGAATCTTGTTCTTTTTGGGGATTAATTAGGGAAATTGGGTGAAATTTCATCTGGGTTTTGCTCATTACTATGTTTTCCCAGTTGGGTGTCATTCTTTTAACATAGATTTCAAGAGAAATGACTACAAAAGGTCAGGTTTTCAGTGGTATGGGTGGGTTTCAAGAAACAAATTAGAGCAGTTCTGATATGGGTTTTGCTCATTGCCACATTCTACCTTCTGGGTGTCTTCATTTTCTCAGAAATTCCGACTAAAATCACCGGAAGGAGTCTGAGAAAAGTGTTATTTTGCTGATTTTGACACCATTCCCTCTAACTTCGCTTCATTTTTGGAATATTTTGACTGATTTCCCTTTTCTTTGACATGCAGGAGACTAAATGTGTCGATTTACAGAAGAGATATGCTGGATACCGGCGGCGGATGTCTCACCGGAAATCCAATCGACGATTGCTGGCGTTGCGACCCAAACTGGGCGAACAAACGCCAGCGTCTCGCTGACTGCGCCATTGGGTTCGGAAAAGCAGCATTAGGCGGCAAAGGCGGCCAGATCTACGTTGTCACCGACTCCTCCGACCACGACGTCGTCAGCCCAACTCCGGGCACCCTCCGCTACGGCGTCTTACAAACCGAACCCCTCTGGATCATCTTCTCATCCAACATGGTCATCAAGCTCAAACACGAACTCATCGTCAACAGCTACAAAACCATCGACGGCCGTGGTGCCAACGTGGCAATCACCGGCGGCGGATGTATTACCCTCCAGTACGTCAGCAACGTCATCATCCACAATATACGCGTCTACGACTGTAAGCCATCGGGAAACACCAACATCCGATCAAGTCCGACCCATGTTGGATTTAGGGGCAAATCGGACGGTGACGGAATATCCATCGCCGGATCAAGAAACCTATGGATCGATCATTGCTCTCTTTCACACTGTACCGATGGCTTAATTGACGCTGTATTGGGGTCCACCGCCATTACCATTTCAAACAGCTACTTCACTCATCATAATGAAGTTATGCTTATGGGGCATGACGATGGTTACATGCCTGACAAAGGGATGCAGGTAAAGACACTTTTGTGCATTAATGACTTGTACATTTCTGATATGTTGTTGCTGCTGATTTGTGTTTTTCAATTTATGCAGGTTACATTTGCATTTAATCATTTTGGGAGAGGTTTGATACAGAGAATGCCAAGGTGTAGACATGGCTATTTCCATGTGGTCAACAACGATTTCACTGAATGGAAGATGTACGCCATCGGCGGCAGCGCCAACCCGACCATCAATAGTCAGGGCAACCGCTACATTGCGCCGCCAGAGGCCGACGCCAAAGAGGTAATTTTCCATGATCAGGGTTTTCATGGAAACAACCTCTATACCTTATCATTAGCTTTTAGAATTTTGCATAACCTTGGATGTCTATTTTTGGATATCCTGAGGTCAAACCGTTACGCTTTTATCGATTTAAACGTGGTACTTTCGAAATTCTAAGTTGTGTATCCGTGGATAGGTGACGAAGCGAGTGGACACGGATGAGGGGAACTGGGCGGGATGGAACTGGAGGACGGATGGTGATATAATGGTAAATGGTGCATTTTTTGTGCCCTCGGGTGAGGGCATGAGCACCACGTATGCGAACGCGGCCAGCTACGAGCCAAAGTCGGCCGCCCTCGTCACGCAACTGACGATGAACGCCGGCGTCTTTGGGGGGCCCAGGTATGCATATTTGATCCCACCATACTCTTTGCTTTACAACTAGCATCGCATAGTAAATTTCACATCCAAATGTTTCTTGGCCTTTACCACCCAACTTGCAGATTTGTTGCCTGAATTGTCTTTCTTACCCTTTACTGCTATTTCCACTCCATTTTACTTTAAAACGTGTTTGCATTTTGTATATTTAGTCTTTTGAGATTCACTAAACATGATAATAATGTCGATGATGAGATGGAAATAGTAAAAATAGGGAGTGGAAGAAGTAAAACTACAAGACACTATGATGCAACACCACAGCGCTTTACATCGGTGCACGTGATCCTGCGGGGGAATCAAAAATGCCAACGGTCATGAGTTGTATTTTGATATTAATGCACAACTAGTAATGCACCATGTACAAGTCCTTACAGCAGGATGTGGTAGGACCCTATGGTCTTCTTCTAATCCAGGTTATGGCACTAAACACTATTTTAAGGCCCAAAAGTCCCCCTCCCCCTCCCCCACTGGCATCCAATTGAAATTTAGCAAAATGGGTTTTTATATATCCATCCCAGAATATCATATTAGCTCACAATTAGGAAAAGGACACTCCTATCTCTTTATTTGATATTTGATTAGGGGGCCGTTTATCAACTGCTTATCTGCGCAAAACAAGCACCGACAATCTTAGTCGGTTAACGCTTACTGAACAAGAGACCCTTATGAAAAGGGTATTACTGTCTTCTTGTATAGTAAAAAACGAAGGGGGATATACTGGTTTTGTTTGGTTCACGTGGGGGAAAGGGTAGTTGGCGTGGTCAAAATGTCATGGATTTCGTTTTCGTGGGTGAAAAATGTCAAAATCAATTCTGACAGGGGTTGACAGAAAATATTAGAAGCAAGCTGGAATTTCTGACTTTTTGGTACCAATGACATGGCCCCACTTCATTTATTCCTTTTTATTTTTGAAGATTAGTTGTATTGGATATTGACTGCTTGCACTTTGTTTGTATCTTAAAGTTTCATTTCAATAAAATATCTTTTTCAAAACATAAAAAGTGTTTTAAGTCGTATTTCAATTCGAATATACGAACATGTGATTGATTGTCATGGTCATGGAGGGTGTTTTGGGCATTTAAGTATTTTGTATTTTTTAGAATGGTGAACTTATCAAAGCTTTGAATTGGAGTGGTTTCCCCTTTTGGATATATAAATAGAAAGCATGTAATAATGGTAATGTCCATTTGAGTCTTGCTATATCATTGAGTGATCATCATTGATTTCCACAATAACCCCTAGATTCACTTTGCAAGTGACCTTTTTACCCTTTATTTCTAATACCCCAGTAAACCATGTTTGCATGTTAGGATATATGTCAAAAAGCTAAAGAATCATCTTTTCATGAATGCATACTTTTTAGCCAGTTTGTTGGACTTGCAAAGCATAATATACAAAGCATTGCTCTTTCCGGTCATGGTCATATGGGCGGTTCGGCTGATGTTAGTATTTGTGTAGGGATGATGACGGGAGCGAGTCATTCAGCGATGGGACGGTTACCGGAGATAGCGCAAGCGGGAACACCGGAAGAGGCGGTGGTGGTGGTGATGATGGCGATTACTTTGGGATGATATTTGGCGGGGGCTCGGTGGCAACATCACCGCCTTCGACGATCGTCATTTTTGTTGTTTTAGTTTTATACATTATTAGCACCACAAATAATGGTGGTGGTTTATTTCCATTATTATTATTATTATTATAGTGATTAATTTGAAGAATTTAATTGTGAAAAAGGTAAGAAAAAAGGAAAAAAAAAGAAAGGATGGTGAAAAAGAGGTTCATCATTTTGGTCCCATTTTTTTTGTCATTCATTTGTTTACAAGCTTTTTTCATTCAAAAGTAGGATAGGGTTAGGGTAGGGGTGGGACTATTGGTTTATTTTCATCATAAATATACAAATTAACATGTGATTTTTCTTTTTCTGTTTAAACGATGTCGTTTGTATATTGAATGGAATAAAATACAATTTTGAATCCTATCAAAGTCCTGCAAACCAAACGGATCGTTGGTTACGAAGTTCTTGGAAAAGGGTTTAGGATCTTTAATTCTAGGACTCGTATTGGCGTCACAAATTTAGGAGGCCGTGGAAATGTACCAAGACCGTAAACACGAGATCAATGCAAGTCGAGTCGGGGGGTGTCATCGTTTCTTACTAAATAAGAAGATAATTTTGTTGCATTAAGATTTTGGGATTTATTGAAAAGTAATAATAATGTGGAACATAGGATACTGTTTTAGGTGCATCTTTGTGGTACCAAATTGAAAGGATACTGTTTTACGTGGGTGGTCGTTGTTGCATTTTTATATCCAAAACCCTTGTTTTATTCCGGAAAATAAAATTCATTTAAATAGTTTTAAGGAAAATTGCATTAAAACTCATTTAAATAGTTATAATATTATATATTATATTCTCTATGTGTGTGTATATATATACTAATTTTTATTATAAATATTTGTTGAGTTCATCCTTATATTTTTCTACAGTTTACCAAATCTCATCATCAAAGAAAGATAACAATTAATCTAATAGAATAAAATTATTGATGTTGTTTTGCTGCAACAATAAATCGATATGGCGAAAAACATGAATTATATTGATAGATTATGTTGATAAATATTCGGTTGACAAATCTATCAATCCAAACACTCCCTAATTTGATGTTGTAATTTAGTAGAAAGAAAATCCTAATAGTTGTAACATTTCACGACAACATTAGGTTTACAGGACGATATGAAACATAAAAGTTTCATATTTAAAAATGTAACAACATGCTTTTAAGACGTTTTTGAGTGTCTTTAACAAATTTCTAGGACATTTTTAAAATAGTATCACATTATTTATGCGTCACTATTTGAAAAACTTGTCATGAACACGTTCTATAAATAAATGAGTTTTCATGATGCTTCCCAAAATTATTCTGTAAAAAAATAACAAATACGACACTTCAATTAAAGAACGTCCTAAAAAACTTGTTAAAACACTTTTTACAAAACATATTATAACCCTTTTAGATAGAACAGTTTATAATTTGATCCTCTAAACTTAACTCTTGTATTTCATGCGCTAAATTTATATTACTAACCCACCAACCCAACCCTACCCTCCTCCTTAACTCACAAGGGTTAAGTTGGTATATACTTGGGTTGAAATTTTTACAAACCGACATAATTAGTTGACCCACGTACACCCCTTAGATTAAGTAAAATTCATAGAGAAATGATCAAAATAGAAGGTGAAGGATTTGACACCTTCCATGAGTTCCTGAAATCTGTAGAAAAGAAAGCCTAAAATAATACAAGATTAAAAGGCAACAACTGCAGAGGGGTGTCGTTGGGTTATGAGAATCCATAAAAGCATGATTCATACAATATTCTTAAAAACAAATGCAATCCATCTTTGCACAAACAAAAGAGAGGTCTCAATATCTTAAAACACTTCAGAATTCATTAATAACAATAAAAAAAAAAGTCTTCATTAGAATTTTGAGGCTGCAACTGCAAATGCATCACAAATAAAAATAAGGTAAAAAGAAGCATCATTAGTAATGAGACTATTAAGATGTAAATTTCCAACTCAAAACATCATTCATACAACTCACCTCTTACTTGATCTTAGTATCACCAGTTTCCTCCTTTCAAGATCCCCAACCACCCTCCTTTTTACCTGCACCTGCACCTGCACCTGCACCATAAAAGATATATTATTAGTGTTTCAGGTTCATTCTACTAAATAAAAACTAACCTACGATGAAAAGCTTACCTTGATCACCACCACCGCCCCAACTGCCGCCTCCTTTGGATCCACCCCACCCACCATCACCACCTTCATCCGAGGCCTTTGAACTTCCCCATCCCCCTCCTGCTGTTTGACCATCCTCCTTTTTATCACTTCCCCACCCCCCTCCGCCTCCCCCTCCTGCTGTTTGATTACCACTTGATTCACCATCCTCCTTTTTATC